TTTGCTGGACAGAAAATCCGCCATTTTTAAATACTGCACATAACATCATAAAATTAACTCTTTGTTTACTCAATTTAACTTCAGCTTTTTTGGAGGACGAGACTAGGTTTTGTGCTACTCGTTTCTGCTCCTTTCTTCCTGCTGTCGTAAGGAATAGTAGCTCTAAGAGTGATACGTTTTATCCAGCCAGACATGGAAGCGTTAGCCAGGCTCAACCAAACCTTTGCAATCCTTTCATGGCCGACTCCCACCAGCCTCACTGAGCCGGTGACTAGTCACATCTCCTGTAAACTACATTGTGCCAAGGAATATATACATGAATGTGTAAGGAGGATGTACCATTGTTGAAGGGTTGCCGGCAAGGGGACCCAATAGAAGGTCTTGTTGCCATTGGGTATGATAAAAAGCACTCAGAATGGAGGTTGATAATGGCATACTAAATAGCTAGTAATCTTTTGCAAGTTCAGGTTGTGAAAGCTATTGGCCAAATAAAGCCAGCCATTTTGTACCATTAGGTGTATGGCAGTATGCTCAAATTAAAACACACCAATCACTAAAAACTTTAGCACCCCTCTACAATTACCAGCCATACAGTATTATGATTGAAGTACTGAGGCACTGTTATTAATGTTAATTTGTAGGCGACTCCACCAGTTGAGGCAGTTATTCTTGTTCTCTCCTTCATCTGGTCTCTACTCTTGTCCTCTTCCTATGACTGATGGAGGAGCTAGACTAATTAAAGTGAGCAGACATTACACACAAATGCACATTATACTTAATGCATTACATACACATTTACATGTACATGTACATGCACTTACTGATTCTCTGGTGCTACTTCTTGTTATTGATTGCTTTTCTATAGCAACAGCCAAATTTTGCCAAAAATGTCAAGTAGAGAATTCTTAATTTTTTATAACATTTTCTGATACATATGCATGTTCTTATGTTGTGTAAAAAGTTTTGATCAAATTTAAATTTTTTACGAATTTTTAAAGTTGCTCAAAAATTAGGTCAAAGCCCTGTACTATAGTACAGGGGCATCGGCCAAATTTTGCCAAAAATGTCAAGTAGAGAATTCTCAATTTTTATAACATTTTCTGATACATACACATGTATACAAGTTCTTATGTTGTGTATAAAGTTTGAGTTGATTCCGATCAAATTTGGATTTTTAATGAATTTTTAAAGTTGCTCAAAAAGCCATGTACTGAAAAGCCTCAAATATAGCCAAACACCCAAATGGATCTAAAATGCTAAATTAATGCACACAATTAAAAGTGAACTTGAGGCATTTTTATTCATTTTATTTCTTTGTAATAATTGTGTACCTTATTGTATTGATAATATTGTATCCTCTTCTCTCTCCTATAGTTGAGTTATGCTGATATGTTGAAGAGAGTTGATCCGTTATGTAAAGAATTGAAAGATTTGGAAACCAAATCTGAGGACACTCGTCAAAAAGGAGAAGAAATAACAAAAATAATAGCAGAACTTGAAGCCTCTATAGCAAAGTAAAGAACAAAACAAAATACATTAAAAGTGAAACTTATATTTTTAATTTTATTTCTTTACTTAGATATAAAGAAGAATATGCAATGGTTATATCTGATGCTAGTGTTATTAAGAATGATTTATCAACTGTTGAGAAAAAAGTAAAGTATTTTAATAATTAAAGATACATTAATTATCTTTTATTAATAATTTAAATCATTAATTATTCATTAGGTGAGTTCCTCCTTCGTTTGCGTCACCTTGAGAAGAGTCTCCTCACTGCATTGAATGAGGTCAAGGGTCGTATCCTAGACAACAACAGGTACCCACAATTCTAATAATACATGTACTTAGTAACGCTACCACATTACTAATAGTACAGGGTGTTGGCCAAATTTTGCCAAAATTGAAAAGGAGAGAAATATTAGTTTTAATAATATTTTCTGATGCATATACATTTACTTATGTTTTATAGCAAGTTTGAGCTGATTCTGATCAAAATTGGATTTTTATGAATTTTTAAAGTTACTC